TCTTCTTAAGGATTTTTTCATACAAGACTGTCACATTTCTGAAGGAAATCACTGGTACTTGTCGTTCGTGAATGCTTATTCGTTTGCAACAGTAAAACTAACTCTCGGTGTGCCTCGCTGTTGTAGCTGTCTCATAGCAAAAGATTTAATTCCTTGCCAGCGTTTTTCTCTCAGATAATGTCAAATGAATTTTTGTGTGTCTCTATCGTCTCGACCCGATAGCCCGAAGCCCAGACCGCGACCTGGAAGCAAACAGGCCAGTTCGGACGCTCTGGTTAAATCGGTCACAGACAAACAGTTTGCGGGTTGTGGTCTTTTCCGGGGCTTTATAAGTACCCGTGTTCCCGAACGTGGCGATCTGGTTCGCGCCGGGTTTGTCAATCTGCGTTCCCCCGAGAGCACATTGTTTGGATTTCTGATACCCTATAACTTCAAGCCGTACACACATCTCGTAATTCGGTAAGTAGTCACATTCCATTCATAAAGCCAATATCTCAGTATCAGTCAAAGGATTAGACAAGTCTTTATTTCACAATTGGTCAGTCAGTCTATCGTCTCTCTAATGTCATTCGAGTAAAATTATTTTTGGAAACTTGGAACATTGAGTTCACTTTATCCAATTTGTTGGAACAGAAAGAAGACAAATGCTGTGAAAGAGTTTTGATGACTACAGTGGTCCAATGAAAGCTTCAGTCCCCCTGTAATTTAAATGATTGTTTCAAAAACTTGTGTCCACACAAAATTGGATTACGTAACTTGATTAATATCTTTTCGCTGAATACCAAGAGGGTTCATGTTACGTAACAATGTTTTGAACGACTAAAGTGGGTCAGAGATGTGTCCACTTGTCATGCGATGTTTCACTACTGATGACCCTAGATTTCTCTTATCAGATTGAGCCCCCGAGTTTCCGCCGCCTCAATGATTATCATACCTGTTTGGGGCTATATTCGGGCATCACTTGTGACGCGAGCCGATTCGTTCTAAGTAAGTGTCACCGTAACTGTAGTGGAACTTATGGACAACATACTAAAGCAGAATTGGGTGAGTGGCTCTGTTTTCTGTTGTCCAAACGAAGTATACGATATCAAAACTGCAGGGTTATTGGTTGTGCGAACTAAAACTGGTATCAGTCGAAGCTGTGTGGCAGGATCTGTTCGACATATTGCCGCCTTGATCTTTTAACACACGTCGTTCATTAAATGATCACCCTTGAAGATCAGTCGGAAGGAGACACTTTCCTTCGGTACTTCGCAGACGAGATAAACCGTTGATCTGTTATGATCATCACCGGATAATACGATAAAATATACCTCATTGACCATTGCCGAGCGCACGATGCCTACAAAATCCAGTAGTGTGGAGTGGATGGCGAATGGGGCTTCCTTCGTAGCTGAAGGAAAATAAATAAACGAAACAACGAACAGAGTTCACACGCTTCTCTCAAAGTAACCATTGTCACCAAAACGTGCTGTACATGGCCTAGCTAGCGAGGTCAGCTTGTGCAAATTCGTAAGGACCGCTCCCAAATACTCAGCTCCAGTGTTATGTAGCAGCCGCTGAATAAGAAGCGGACACTTGACGTAACTTGAAGAGGCAAACACGATTGGGGGTGTTTGTTGCCCTTTTTGACGTTTTGGGCTCCCGTTGCAACTCATCTCCGGCGAAATGTTTCAGTTTTCTCATCTGACTGAAAGAAGTTGTAGATTTACTCTTTTTATGATTTCATCAAAACAGAAAGAAAACTAATGTCGTGACATGTTAACATTTCGTTTAATCTTCTCAGCACATGGGATTAATCAGTTATGGTGAACGAACGTGTATAAGCATACAAATATTACTAAATTTAGAAGTAGAAGGTAAGTGGATTGCTTGTATCAAAAACTTCTGTGCGCTTAAGGTTGAGTGATGCAATCGAATAAGCAGTGCTTCATTAATCGCCAAAAGTTTGGCATTGCGATTACGTAATATTGGTTTGAAAGACGAACTAGGTTCAACTGTGTGTCTTGTTGCGATGAGATGTTTTGCAGTAGATGCTCCTGGATTTCTTGTAATCACTTGGCCATCATTTATCGGTTGCGTCATCGATTTCAACAACCACTTTGGAATATGTTCGACCATCCGTTGCGACAGCTGACGGTTTGTCTACCTTGAATCGTAGACTTAAATACTGAATTTGTTTCATCCACTTAGGTTCTCAATTTCGTATTCATCTGAGTAGTGGTGTTAGTAGTAGTAATATTAGTCCAGGTACAATGACTTGACATAATCAGCTTAGATGGTATCACAGAGACTGATTTGATTACGTAATGTTCTCCGTTCTCTACTCAGTCTGCTGTTTTTCTTCCCATACACATATTGTGCATTTTTACACACTTCCTAGATATCGCGGAGACGGCCGCAGCTACCGGATAAATGTACTTCCACAACAAGATTGGGATGCCAATTGGTTCAATGCGCATCACTTTGTTCTATACACTCGAGGTGGACCCTATTGGCAAATTGCCAAAATTCCCCTTTCCAAATTTTTCATTCTCACTCGTGGTTTGATTCGAAGAGATCAGTATCCGGTGAAAGGCACCCATGTGCGGTTACTTTCGTTCACTGTGATGGATAATTGCGAGGGTCCTTTCTCTCTGGAATTGGACTATATTGCTCTGTACATTGACCCGGATCATCATGAAAAGTTCGCCTACGAGGAATACGACCGTTCAGGCATTGTTCAGTAATCTATATAAATATATACATTAGCCCCTACTGAATACAGTTGTTCAATTTGTATCCAAGTTACTTTTATATTCGTCGTCGCAGATCGGTTTTGCTCTGTGTTGGATGGGAATTCACAGTTTGGTCACGTGGTTGTAAACACGGTATTCGCCTCCGACCAATTACGCGAATAAACCCTCCCAGAAAAAATTATACCAAAAAAGGGTGAAAATTTCGAACAAAGATTACAATTGAGAAACTACACAATGTATTTCCGCTGCATCTTAACTAATGCTTACTTCAGAAAAGATGGGTTTATATATCACGGTCTACTGCGTCGTAAACAATGGGGAAGTGAAACAGTCTGACACATAACTACGGTAGAGCCAATGTAGCATAAAGTTCTTTTTGTTAGCTCAGAGGGGGTTTCACCGATTGATCGCTATCGCTTTGTAAGTCGTAGTAACCGTGATCCTCTGGCCAAGTAGATAATTCTGAATGATTTATCACAATTGGCCTGGTGCCGTGTTACTAACACACGCCGCACAATTGGTGACGCAGATGTTCTAAATATTTGATTTTGGTTGTGCAGAATTCACTGTCGTGATCACGCGCCGAACCCATTTAAGAATATGTCCAGCCTTTCGGTTACGTCATGGTCTCTTCTTTCTACAGATGTAAGCTAATCAATATGCACTTTCGAATCTGTATATAAAATTTGACTTCTTGAGGAAGGGGAGACAAGCTTTTACTGGTGGCGTTGGTATCCGGGTGGTGGTGTAAAGCAAGATTGGGAGGCAACAAAGAAAGTGCAAGTTGATTGCGTAACATTCGACTGACGTCATCACTCTTGTATAGGACTTTAAGTTTAACCACGAGCTTTTCACATGTCCTAATCGAGATTCCTGTCTGTATAATATGCCTTTGGATAAACTAGGAAGTATAAACACTGGCTTTCAGTGTACAATCAGGCGTATAGTTCAAATGACGAACTTTCGAACTAGTCAGTGTTTGTACTGGATTGGGGCAAAACTGTGAAATCGGAGATATTATTCAGTCCATGTTGATTTTCAGCACACTAATCTGGTGTTCAGAGAGATTGTTGTTTGTGAAATTTCGCCTTTTGTGGAATGTTGTATGTTGCTGATCGGGTGTATCATTCACGAATGAGCTGAGGCGTGGCAGTTGATGCATTCACACGATCACTTGTGTCCAACCGGGAGCTACTAAATAACTCTCTTTTATAGCCATGCAATATACCGCTCATGAAGTCGATGAAAAAACATATCGGTCTACTGGTTCCACAGTTTGGAGTCTAAAAACATCGTTTTTCGTAAGTGGCCTAGAAAAGATCGACCCGCTGTTTGGGTGTTACTGTTTCGTTAACCAATGGACTGCGGACAATCTATCGATTATAGGCTATATCAGTCTCAGGATGAATCAAGTTTTTGCTGTGTGTCTACTAGAAAATATTTGTTCCCAAAGGAATTGCCATGTACGTCTGAGACCAGATTTTGTAGACATCAAAGTGAAAGGATGTAGCAACCATTTTGATGTGCTTGTATTTTATACCGATAGTCATGAACTATTGTTGACAATCAGTTCGTTGATGCAACTACCCCGTCACTTGCATTGTACATTATATTATATAGAGCGCAAACCATATCTTCTTATTCATTGTGTGTCTTAGGAGGTAATTATTCAAGCCAACGAGTTAACTGGACACCCATCACGCGCAGATTATCTTATTGCAAGCTTATTCTATACGGTCACAAAAAAATCTGTTTGTATCTCACTTTGTGAACAAGATTGAAAAATAACGTTCAGTGATACAAGAGAATAACTGAGATAGCCCGATACCTAGTGGTCAGTTGGTGCCCGTTGCACTATCTGCATGAAGAAAAATTGTCTCCTTTTATTCGGCATTACAAATTGACAAAAGCTAGGTAGATTCATCAACTGCTATTCATCGTGAGAAGAAAAAAATGACGGTCCATTGAAATGATTTTGGGTCGTTCCTTCTCAGATACGTTCAATAGTTACAATGGTACGAAGCTCTTGGACAATAGTCTTCACAGAAATGGAACAAAAAGGGCACACATCAGATTATCCAGAATTAGACCCAACTAGGACATTTTTGATTGTCGTTTGGACCGAGCATTCTCTAAATATGTTCGCGTACAACTCTTAGTTCATTAAGTCCACCATGGTCAGTCCAAATCAGAAACGTTTATTCCCCACCACTGCCTACAAGTAACTGTGATTTCAATGCTTTTATAGGTTCGTACATTTTTGAACATATGGATTAATGAAGCCAACTACAACCTGCAGCAAGTAGGCATCTCAAACGAAACTCAGAGAGCGGTGTCCCACGACCATTGCGAGTGTTTCTGAAGGACGAGTCAACCGCCGAGATTAGAGAATTGTTTGTATCGAAAGTATTACTAATGGGATCAATTGTAACATCAAATGGAATTATTGCATTATCCGCCGGTTATCTGCGTAGTAAAATTGGGAGGAACGCTGTTCTGCTCTTGAGCTATAGGTCAAAAATTTCAAACGGTTGAAATCGGTTTACTGAGTATTCGGGAAAATTCTGAGATTGTCCAATGCAGCTGGTGACATTGTTCTACCTTTTGACTATGAATAACTCCTTTTTCAATGTGTAACGATTCATCTATGTAAACATCCTATGGGACACTAGAAGCACCAGCTTGTAAGCTATTCCCATAATAAAACTTTGACTTTAACTATTTGAAGCAGAAATTTCTCAGTAGATGGCGGTTCCTTAGGTAGTAACTCATCATACAAAGATTGTTGATTGAATAATCTGTTCACCCTGTTGCACTCATACACGACGTCAACAATAATCTATTACTCCTAAGATCGAATAATGCACACACACACGGAAATACGAATATAATTCACCTATTCGTGTCGACTGTATCTATGCCCGTATCATAGCTTGAATAAACGGATCGATTAACTCTGTTTTTTTTTTATCAACAATATATCGTAGTGACTGTTAAAAAATGTGCCCGATAAACTTATAGAAATGCCAATTTTTCGATGCGCATATTGCGCTAGAAATTTCCATAACTGAAAGAAGGAAGGAGAGTCGTGTTGTCAATGTGATATGCCTTCGCTCCTCCTCATAACCCCCCCTCCCCTCCCCCGTTTCTGTTTTCTGAAATGCGCATACTGGTCTGGAACTAATTAGAATTCCTCAATGAAATTTTAGTCATCCAGATGAGATAGTAACGCGTAGAACTTACTCGTCCCACTGTTTTTCCAATGACTAAACAGTTCCGTATGTGGTGATAAATCACATGTGATGATACTGTATCTCAAATAGTATGCATTGGACAGAGAATGTGCTCGAAAAGCACTGAATCCACCGGAGTTACCTTGTCAATAATTCGACTTTTAAAACCACCCCCTATCCTTATTGTTATATAGGATCGATGGAGGCGAGGTAGATTAGTTTCTCAACCTAACAGCCCAAACAGAGGTTCTAAATTCCCCATATTGGTTTAGACTTACCGAAATCCTGAGGGCGTAAAATCACCCTAAACGATAGTGGAAAAACCAGTTGCACCGTTAACTCTATCAGACTTCGTGCGTTCACTGAAGAATCCCATTCATCCTCTTGTATGAACCAAATTAGAATGAGAGAAGAAACAACCCAGACAAGTATTGGAAAAACCATCGAGAAAAAAAGAACCAACACGTTCAGGGTAACTGTACAATAGATATGGTACAGTTACATAAACCTCAAAATAATATTGCACACGTTGGAAGAATACTCTCAGATGGGATACGATGCATTCTGTCGGAAAATGGATATCACGCAGCAATGAAACCCGTCGACGCCTAATCATCTTTTTCTGGTGATATCAGACGGGGAAGTTAATCGCTGATCACTCTACTCCCGCCGGTGGAAACGAGATCAGCTTTCAGTCGATAACTTGTGACATCGTTGCACGCTCGAATACTTTCCATTTGAAGCGAAAACCACAGGCTGGGAACTTATTGTTCGCCACATGAGAACCCCAAATTGGAAACGAGTCACCAAAGGGAACCATCACTTCTGTGGTATTTAGAGCAGATGGATTCATGGGACAAGTTTCGACAGAGAGGGATATCCGTAAGGTAGACCTGCTAGAGGGAGCGATAGATATCCCACCACTGCAAGCCCATCTGTTGCCTACCAGAGCGGTTATAGCAAAAGTTTGAACCATTTCTACTTGCTTACATGAGGAACGCGTGAGGTGGATAGTTAGGACAACCATGCTGGTTTTAAGGGAGTGACACTGAATGTTTTTCGATCTCTACCTAGACTTACCATCTCGACAATCATTTTGCTACCTTACCTACTTGTTCATTTCTACAGTTGTATTTCTCTACCTCTTGATTCATGCCATCCCGTCCCCCTCCGTTCTTACCAAGACGTGCGACGCCTCAGTTGACCCAGCTTGTCTATTGATAGGGTTGATTGTTCCCCTCTCTCCTGTTTAGTTGGTCACACACTTACCCCCGACACACTTTATTTTTAACTCATGCATCCGCTAGTCCACCGATCGACAAATGTTCACGGTCCCTGGCCATCACATCATTATGGTTTTATTCTCGCACATTTGATTGGTTGATGGACGGTCATTGGACCCCTACGCATGCGTGTTTGACACCTAGTTCATTCTGATCGTTGACCTCGGTTAAATGGCACGCACCCGTTGGGTGACTGTATTTTCGATCGTGCTCTTATCACAGGTTTGGCCAGTTATCGAACCAATTAGGAATAAAGGGCAGTGTGTCCTGTACTCGGAAATAGCTCAAACTATTGGTGAAAAAGAGTATGCGGATGTTTGCTCTTGTTTCCATCGACTGATCGATGAAAACGAACGAGGAGCGACTTACGTGTGGTTGATCCCCTAATGAGTGACGATAATCCTTTATCGAGAGGTCAGTAGATGCAAGCAATACCCATAAATGATTGCCTACACTCCGGACTGGAGCTAACAAG